TTCTTGAGATCCCTAATTTTCAGCAGGAGGATGCCGGTTTATATGAATGTGTGGCTGAAAATTCCAGAGGGAAAAATGTAGCAAGGGGACAGCTAACTTTTTATGGTAAGTGTCTGATTTCAGTTTATCGTTTGTAGTACTACAGAACTTCCTGATATTGAAATCATAAGCTGAGAGGCATTCAGGCATTTTGGGAGAGCTTGTGCAGCACAGGATTATGTGAAACTCATGGTTTGCTCCATAATTAGCCCTGGTTGATTCTGGGTGTGGAGAGTGAGGGTGGGGGGCAAGGGTGTTGATGGAGCAGAGAGGAAGACATTAGGCTGATGTGTTTGGAGGATGGATATTAGTGTGAACACACTTGCAAAGAAGTCTGTTTTTTCTCTTTGCTCAAGCTGTAAACCTGACACAGGAAACATTTTATTATTCCTGCTCCTGATTTATCTTTTTTTAAAGCTCTGTGCTTTTCTTCATTAGAATTTTGATTTGAGGCTTGTGTTAATCTTTTGTAATTGCTCCTATTTGGTAGCAATTTAATGTGGTACCATGAACATTTCAAAATGCAAGCTGTCCAAATTTAGTTCTTATCAGAGTGGAATGTGACAAATCTCTCTCACCCCAAAGACATTTTATGTGCAGCTGCTCCTATTCCAATCAAATCATGAGCATTGATCCAAATAATATAAATGTAAAACCATTAGCCCATGGTCATTATTGAGACCATCTTGGAAACCCTGTTAGGATATTGATTTGAAATCTAGAAAAGGATTTCATTGGATAGGCATTTCGAAAGCAAACTGAGTTCTGCCAAATTGGAGCATGCCAGAATCCCATCTGTCTGGGATACAGAAAACAAATACTATAGGTTGATAATTATTTAAGAATGGTTTAAACAAACAACAATGCATATTAAAATAATGAGAGTAGTTCTAAAGCTTTAAATGTTCTTCTTTCTTGCAGTGATTGATCCCACAAAAGTCTATTTATTTCACTAATTCTTCTTATAAAGCATTTTGGTTTTAAGATATGACCAAAGTTCTAAGCCCTCCAGTAGAAAGAAGGGGACCCCTCATGGCTAAGGGGGAGGGGCCAAATTAGCATCGAAAAATGAGTTCTTGGCCATGATGGGAGGGTAATGTCAGACACATCTAGTTATACCCGCTCCCTCACTAACAGCAATGAGCCTTTCTTTCCTAAGGGCTAAATACAATCTAGCCCTTTGAAAAGACTCCATCACTGATATCAACCACCCACCTGATGCTGCCCCTTATTTTTTGCCTGATAAAAGACCGCCAACACAGAATGGTTCTGTCATTCTAGGGAGGATGTGCTATGAGGGGTTTCATGTCCTCTGGTCTACCTTTTGACATCTCAGAGCCAAAACCTCCACCCTCAGATGCTAATACTGCCATTTTTCATACCCGAAACCCATGAAGGGTTGCACATGCAGATGGTTCTCCTTTCATAAATATCCATGACTTCTCCTATGACTTATTAAATTTGTATATTCATATATACATATGTATATATTTCATACACAGAACCCATGAAACTCAGTTGCACAAGCACATGTTTCTCCTTTCATAAATATCCATGACTCCTCCTGTAGCTTATCAAATATGTATATTAGGCCACTCCATTCAGCACAAATTCCTGTTTGTAACCTTTTCTCCTCCTTCGAAGTGCCAGTTTACAGCTCCTGACCAAGGGAGGCTACACTTCCTAGCCTGTCAGAATGGCCACCAGGCAGGCTAATAAAGCTCTGTCTTCCAAAAAGAAAGAAAGAAATGCAAGGAAGGGAGGAAGGGAGGGAAAGGGAAAAGGAAAGGAAGGAAGGAAAAAAAGAAAAAACTATGGCCAAAGAATTCTGATCGATAATCACATAACGGTTTTTAAAAGCTTGATTGGAAACTGGGCGGAGATTTCCACTATCAGCCAGCCTTCAATGACCTCCCCTAAGTGACTCTCAGCATTTTGGACTCACGTTCCCCTGATGCAGCTTCTGGGGCGGGAGAACACACAGAGTTGTAGAAAGTGTTAATACTTCACTTGATGAGCTGGGCAACAGCTGTTTGAATAAATCTGCACTTCTCTTTCATCATTCGTCTATCTTCAAGAATATTAGAGGATTGACTCTACTCATGCCAGATGACAGACTTGATATTTAATCTTTGCTTTCCTCTTAAACTGTCATAGTTGGTATCTTATTTGATGGGTTGTAAAGCAAAAGACACCACAGTTAACTGACTGCAAAAATACGAGACTGTAAGTTACAGATTTATTCAGTGAGATGCTATGGCTGTGTATTTTTAACTGTTTAGGTCTCATTTTTCTCACCAATGTAATAATTATTTTTTCTATATCAAATAGGGACAATCTGTAAATATTCAGGTAATTGGCCAACGTTTTCTCTTTTTTCTTAGTTGAATAGTCTCTTCAGTTCAGTGGTGGCTGCTCCTAAATGTTATTTGAGTAGCTTGACTAATTGAATAAAGTCATTTTAACTTTCATGATTTTCTGTTAAGTGAAATTCCTGCTCTCAGTATGTTAAACTGGTATGAAATTTTCTGTAGCCAGGGGTTGGTATACTGCTTTTCTGTGGGTTAGAGGTTTCCTGCACTGGAAATAGAGCACCCCAGGGTTACTGTTATGGAAAATCTACTTTGTCACTGGCTCCCAGCCCTGTGCAGGGAAATGTTTTTTTTCAGGGATCCTGCCCTGGAGATGAAAATCAGGTTCTAACAATGTTTCCTTTTTAAATGGAGTTATCTGCAGCCATGCATGGGAAAAAGAGCAGAATAAAATAAAATTTGCCTGCTTTCTGAAGATAACTCAGCCTTACTTCACTTGTCAACCATGCTTGGTATTAAAAACTTGTCAGATCAGCTGACTTCCATAGCACTTGGCTATTGCATTTATGTTTATTCTTTTGTTTTTCCTTATCTAGCATATCAGTGACAAAAATTATCCAATTGTTTTCATTGTCACAGTCACAGGAGAGCTTAATTATACATGAGCACTTGGCTGTCATCTTTTTTCCTCACACTTTTTTCTGGTCTGGGTCTTCCCAGTGCTGTGTTTGTAATATCCAGCTGCACAGGCCTCCTATTTAAATGAATTATTATAATTAAAATCACCATGTAGATCATAAAAGGCAAAAGAGTACCCCAGTCACTTATCCATGAACATTCTGTCTTTGTTGACAAGAATTTCTTACAACACTAAGGTGTGCTGCACTTAGGGATTATAAACCATGGGTTTGAGCTTAGAAACCTGCTTCTTTGGGTTCCAAGTTTATTGCATTCATCAGCTGTCCACTTCAGCAACCACAAGTGTGCTAACTCCTATTCAGGGTTGGTAAAATGGCCATTTTTTTCCTTCTTGCATTAAAAACATTTTACCTTCTTTCAAAAGCCTGCTGGGCATGATCATTGTTCCCGTTGTCTGAATAATGGAAGTCCTATTGCCCATTGGTTTGTCCCTACTGTGGCCATGTCTTCAAGTTAGCCTGTGCTACTCATGTTTGGTATGTATGAAGAACTGAAGCAAGTTCAGGCATAGAACATTTTTACCCTACCCCATCTTCCCAATTTGTTTTTACTATAACCTGTACTTGGCTATCGTGGTCTAGTTTAATCTACTTTTCTCAGTCTTTTTTGGCATTAAAAAACTTCCTAAAAATAGATTGTATTTCAATGGTAAAATGCTATGGATCTTTGTTACTAAAGATAAACATTTTCCAAAATGACTTTAATATATTATTTACTTGTTTAACAGATTTTTTTTTAATTGCCTACCATATGGGAGGCATTATTAGGCACTATGGTTGCAAGACAAAATCTCTGCCCTCAAGGACCTAATATTTTACTGGAAGTTAAGTGAAATGCATTATTAAGCAAATAAATTAACTAGGACATTTTATTTTCTGGTAAGAGTGATAAAGAAAATGGCCAGGCACAGTGGCTCACGCCTGTAATCCCAGCACTTTGGGAGGCCTAGGTGGGTGAGTCACTTGAGGCCAGGAATTCGAAACCAGCCCCGTTTCTACTAAAATATGAAAATTACCTGGGTGTGGTGGTCGTGCATGCTGGTAGTCCCAGCTACTCGGGAGGCTGAGGCAGGAGAATCACTTGAACCCAGGAGGCGGAGGTTCCAGTGAGCCGAGGTTGTGCCACTCACTGCACTCCAGCTTGGGCAACAGAGCAAGACTCCATCTCGAATAAATAATTAAATAATTAGATCGATATGATAGAAAGTAGCTGAGAGCAAGAGAAAGATTTCATAAGATGAGGTAGTCAGGAAAGACTTGTCTGAGAATAGCCCTCTGACCCAAAACCAAAAGGATGAAAATGAGCTAGGCTTTCAAGGGGAAGTGCATTCCTAGCAGAAGGTGAGGAAGTGCAAAGGCTCTGAGGCAGAAAACTACTTGACGTTCTTGATATGCAGCAGGGAAGTCAGTGTTAACTAAATCGTAGTGAGCAAGGGGCAAAGGTTGGAACCTTAGGAAGGTGACAGACTGCAGTACTTTGTAAGCCAGGCACAGAGTTTGGGATTTATTCTCTGAGTATAGTGGGAAGCCATTACAGCCTTTCAAGGCAGGAGGGTGACTCGATTTGATTAATGTTTTTAAAAGACCACTCAGGTTGTTTCGTGGTGAATGGATGATTGGAAAACAAGAGTGAAAGCCGGACAACTAGTTAGGAGGCCATTGCCGATATCCAGGTGAGAGATATTGTTGATTAGGACGTAAGAGAGGAAGAGAAATGGAGAGACTTGAGATCTATCTTGGAGTTAGAGCCAATAGGATATTCTCATTTCATTCCTACATCTGTCTAGTTTATAGATATGGAAATTGAGTCCCAAAGAGATTAAAGTAATTGATTTAAGTTTATACAGTAAAAAACAGAGCTAGATTTCAAATGCTGTGCTAGAGGTTCTGAAACTTCAGTGTGCATCAGAATAACTTGGAAGTCTTATTACAACACAGAATTCTGGGTCCCGTTCTATGTTCCCAGTGGGAACACACCAGATGGAGGCTTTGATTTGGTAAGTCCAGAGTAAGACCAATAATTTGCATTTCTAGTAAATTCCCAAGTAATGTTGATGCTGCTTGTCTGGGAACCACATGGTAAGAATACTGTATGTTTAGGCTGTCCCCCCATGGTATTGTGAAGCTGAAGTTTAAATTACATGCAAGAGAAGGTGTTCCTACTACTCTGGGAAGCTAACAGCTTACTGTCACATCAGGCATTGTAGCCAGTCTACACAAAGTAGAATGAGAGTGTTAAGGCAATTATCTTTGAAGAAAGGAAAGGGAAGTATAAAATGGATTCAATTCACTTGATAATTATTCATCTTTGCACTTCATTCTGTCTCTGTAGTCACTTCCTTTTTGCCCAAAAGACTGATAGAATTATAGTCATCATTTAGTAGAATGAAATGTGAACTAAAAGATCCTGATATTTAATATCTTTGTACAATTTCTTCTCTTTGTAACAGGTGTTATGAGAGTAAAACCATTTTCATAATTAGGAAATGAGGAATCTAATATTTAAGCAGTAAACAAGGCTATATTTCACAGAATCCAGTAATACTTAAGCTGGAAGTAACTGCTGGGGCCAGCCCTTTGGTTTTTATAATTAAAGCAAATAAGATCCAGAGATATAAAATAACTTATTCAAGGTAATGCAATGAATGGGAATCACAGCTAGAACTGCTTTTTTCTGCTATTCTACCTGTGTTACTTTTCCTGTCAATGCAACATTTTAATACAATAGGTAAGGTAAAAAAAAATCCTTCAATCATCCAGATACTCTTTCTTGCATTTTCCATTACCAGTGTCACAAATGACAACATCTGGATGAACAACTGACTTTTTCACTTTCTATTTTCTAAGTTGGTCACCTGGTTATTGAGTCCAAAAAAACTCTTTTTTTCTTCTTCAAATTACATGTAAGACTAAATGTCTAGACCCTTTTTGCTACAGTCTTTTGCCTCTAAAGGCAAAACTGTAGACTTGATGACACTGCAAATGGTGTTTGAGTATCTCTAAGGTCATCAATAAATGAATACTGAAGCATCTTACAGCAGAGCATACTAATTCCCCATGGATGTGCTATGTATATGGGATCACAAGATAATATTCAGCCCCGCAAAGAGGCTTAAAGGGCAGAGAGACCAAAAATTGAACACAGTAGATAAGGTAATTTCACAGTAGAGCAACAGTTTGCTTAATTGTCCTAGACAGAACTGATATTGATACCCTGAATTCCCATGAGTGTCACTTAAGATAAAGTCAACAATTTTTGTTTCTTTTTTTAATTTGGTAGTTCCAATAAAGTGCATTGCTGCAATGCACTTTTTCAAGTTTTCAAGGGGTACACATTGAGGAAATGTTGTGAATAGTAGTCAGAGAGAATTAATATAGAAGTGGAGACATAAAGTCCTCACCTATTGAGAAACTTTAAGCATGGAAGAGTCATATCAAGGACAATATATTGAAATGCAATTCAAGTCTCACTCTGTAGTCCCAGAGAAGGCAAAATGTCGCAGTTACATTTTTTTATTCATCAATGAATGTTGTTTAAATTTACTTATAGGAGGTTTTGCTTAAGTTGATTTATTTATCTAAAAACTCCTCTGCTTATCTAAGCAGGAGTGCTCAAACTGTTGGTTTAAGCACTCCTTTTTACCCTGAAAAATTACTGGATAGCTCAAAGAGCTTTTGCTTATGTGAGCGATATCTACCCATATATGCCGTATTATTAATTTAAATGGAGAATTTAACTTAGAACTTAACTTACTTTAAAATGGCAAAAATACAACCAGTATACGTTAGAAATAATTAACATACTATAAGAAAACTGACTATATTTTTCCAAACAAAAATATTTAATGAAAAGAGTGGCATGGTTTATATTATTGCAAATCTCTTTAATGTCTGTCTTACTAGAATACAGGTGCATTCTCCTATATACTTCTGTATTCATTCTGTCATGATATTTTGTTTCGATTGAAGTATATGAAGAAAATATGGTCTGACACATGTGTAATTGGAAAGAGAGGACATAATGGACTCCCTTAAGGAAACCTGGGGACCTACAGTGGTCCTTAGATTGCACTTTAAGAAGGATACATTCAAAAGAATGCTCCCATTGTCATTTGCGATAGGGTTGGATATTTTTTGAGAGGCTCTGGAGAGAGAATGGATGTTGGAGCCAAGCAGGCCTGTGTACCATTGCTAACTGAGCCACTTTCTGAATCTGGATGTTAATGTCTCTGGGTCTTATCTATAAAATGAGTGCAAGTCCACTTAACCTGAATATTATGAGGTTTAGAAATGATGTGTGTAAAGTGAAGCTGATTAGATGTTTCATATATTAGTAGTTTCCGTTACTGATTGCATTTCAGACTGAACTCAAGGTGTATAAGGGAAAGAGAAGAGGATGGATTCAGCTGAGTAAGAGCAGATTCAGGGAAATATTAGGTAGAGGCTTTGAAGATTAAAAAAATAAAGAAATATAGAGAAATTAATCTATGTAAGGTTAGAATCATAGCTTGATTGATCTGGGTATAATTGAGTAAATCAGGCCCAACAGCCTTTTTGAAAATGCACATATTGCTGATTTACATTTTTTTTATTCTATAACTCATTCATAAAGTTCTGAACTGACTTCTTGGAGTGGAGGACAAAGACCCTTATTCACCAGGAGCTGTGGATTCACTGGGCATAGTTGGACAGAAAGTAAGAGATGTAAAACCAGATGGCGGAAGACTTCATTTTCATTTACGTATTTATTAATTTATTTTTGAGACAGAGTCTCGCTCTGTCGCCCAGGCTGGAGTACAGTGGTACGATCTCAGCTCACTGCAACCTCTGCCTCCCAGGCTCAAGTGATTCTCGCGCCTCAGCCTCCTGAGTAGCTGGAACTACAGACAGGCACCACTATGCCCGGCTAATTTTTGTATTTTTAGCAGAGACGGGGTTTTACCATGTTGACCAGGCTGGTTTCAAACTCCTGACCTCAAGTGATCCACCTGCCTCGGCCTCCCAAAGTGCTGGGATTACAGGCGTGAGCCACTGCGCCTGGCCAGGTGACAGAAGACTTTCAATATTAACCTAAAGATATGAAATAATGATAATGTTCTCCTAATTTTTGTAGCATTTACAGGAGGCAGAGCACATTCAGAAATCTTATTTGTTATCTGATACACAGATTACTTCCTACAGTTATGTTTGCTTTATGTATTGATGAATACCTATTAATAGAAATATGCCAGCTTTGAGTTGCCTTTTAGTGTATCTTCATATAGTTGGTTTTTTATATTCTGATTTGAGGTTATCATTGCTATCTGTGCTATCTGTGAAAGGATTGGCCTGATGGCATTTCCCATACCATTGCCAGAAGCAAGTCAGTTTTAACTTAGGTAGAGATGAAGAAGCCATAAATACGAGTGTGTGAATGAAGTACAAATTAACAAAAAAAACTAGGAGAACTGTGAATCCTGTTGGTTTAAGAGACAATCTAAAGGCTAAAGGTTTCACTTATTAAAATCAAAAGGAGAGGCTGTGCATAGTGGCTCACGCCTGTAATCCAGCACTTTGGGAGTCCAAGGCAGGTGGATCACGAGGTCAGGAGATGGAAACCATCCTGGCTAACGTGATGAAACCCCATCTCTACTAAAACCGCAAAAAATTAGCCAGGTGCGGTGGCGGGTACCTGTAGTCTCAGCTGCTTGGGAGGCTGAGGCAGAAGAATGGTGTGAACCCGGGAGGCGGAGCTTGCAGTGAGCCGAGATCACGCCACTGCACTCCAGCCTGGGTGACAGAGCGAGACTCCGTGTCAAAAAAATAAATCAATAAAAATAAAATAAAAAGGAGTGTTAGACATCATTAGGTTCAAACTAATATGAATTCAAGGAGAAAACAAGCTTCCAATCTCCAGACTGCATTTCTAAAGCTGTTCTTACGATACAAGATATCAGCAAGTATCAAAAAAGTATCTGTATGTTTAATTCTCAAGGTACTTTTTTTAACATGAATTTTTACAAGAAATTCTCGATATTTAATACATAGCAAGGCTGCAGCAAGGAAGAAGCCTTGCTCTGAATTAAATATTGAGAATTTGAGTGAATGTAGAAGGGAGTACCTTCCAAGAACCCTCAGAGCTTCATGGAATTGAGTTTGAAGACCCCTGTGAGAAGACGGATTGGTGTGTGGGGAGTGGATGAGAGTCTGAAGCCAGAGAAGTGCAGATTGTCAGTGCTGAACAAACATCAAAGATGTTTGCCCTAAAATCCAACATGCATATTTCTTGTAGAGCTGGTCCTTCTTTTCAGTGACTTCTGCTAACTGGAAGTCAGGGGTTTGTAAAAAGACTGTAATAATAAACTGCAAGACTCTCTTAAGTAGCATTGTAAAATGACTATTTCTCATGCCAGTACTAGGAACCCTGAATTTGAAGTAAAGTGAGAATTTCTTGATGATTCTGTCAATTGCGTAAGAATCCCAGGCTAGAGAGAAAGATTTGGGAAGCATTATGTAGGTAGGTGGTAAACTAAAGCCAAGTAATTATCTCCAGACTCATAAAGTCTACTATCATTAAAATTCTTAAGCAATGTCAGTGAAACTCCTGCATTTCCTGGAGATGATTCATCTTCTCCAAAATTATGTGAGCAACCAGAAATAACTGTGACTGTCTACAGGTCATCTTTGTAATAGTAATTTAGAGGGGTTTTTTGTTTGTTTGTTTTTTTGCCATTGTATCCTTTCTTTTAGATTTTTAAATTTCTAAGGTCTAAGGCATATGTTGGCATTTCTTTCAGTTAGAAATTTCTGTTTTTAGAAAATCGAAGAGCCAAATGCTCCTGAGAATTGTTTGACCCACTGAGTTTAAATTATATCTGCCTGCAATGTAAATTATTATTGGATAAGATGCTTCTACAATTCCAGTGGCTGGAATACACAAACGCTGATTTAGGTCATTTCTGGCAGTTATTGAATAAAAGATTGAAATGAAGAGATTGTTTATCTATCCAGGAGACAAACTGTGTCACAGGGTCAAATCCCAGCACAACCATTTAACCTTATATTTGAATTTGTAGTTTGAGAACAATACTTAAGGAGTCCTAGAAGAATTCTTTTGTTTCAAATCTTGAAAGAATATGGAAGTTCAAAACAGATGGTTCTCTTTCAATATGTGAATGTGTTTAATTCTGCTTAATATGTGGGGTCTACATATATTACAAAGAAAAAGACATTTAGAAATGGCTTCTGAAATAATAGTACTGAACTAACCTGTTCAGGTCTTCCTCTGAGTTGATACAGGTTGAGTATCCCTTACCTGAAATGCTTGGGACCAGAAGTGTTTCAGATTTTAGATTTTTTAGGATTTTGGAATATTTCGACCTAAGCCTAAACATGAAGTTTATTTATGTTTTATGTATACTTTAAACACATAGCCTGAAGGTAATTTATGCAACATTTTAATATTTTGCATAATTTAATGTATGAAACAAAGTTTTCACTGTACTTGCTATGACCAGTCTTATGAGATCAAGTGTGAAATTCTCCACTTGTGGCATCATGGTGGCGCTCAAAAAGTTTTGAATTATAGAGCATTTCAGATTTTAGGTCTTCAGATTAGGGATGTTCAACCTGTGTTTAGACAAGGAGTTGTAAAATGTAGCTGAACCTTGATATTAAGCAATAAATATCCTGTACCCAATGCATTATCACAAAAGGGGGAGGAGCTAATGATATATCTTATAATATGCTTAACTGGGATTTTTGTTATCTAAGGACTTTGAACTAGGTAACCCTCTCCCTGCAAATATGGAGATATATGAGTCATTATCATCAAGCACATGACTTTAGTTATTCTAGTATGAAAAACTCACACATTTAGATATAATTCATCCAATCTAAGTGAGCAGGAGTGAAAACCTTTACTACATGGGCTTTTGCCCTGTAGATTTGCAATTGGCGTGTTAAGATAAAGACTATCTCTCTTTGTCACATGTATAATATGATATTTCATTTCTGATCTTCATGGGCCCATGTTCAGATACTCACTTTGACAGGAATATGTTTATATCAGTTCAAATTTGTCTTCTATGAATTAATTTTACTTTAAAAATAAAGAAAGTGCCGTGTGATCTCTCACAGACACTGAATTTTTTTGTTGATTTCACCTTGGCCAGCACAAATAACTACCACTGAGTATTCTCGTCTGATTCCTTGACCTCCATAACCCTGTGGGAAGAGACAGAATGAGCCCTCAGAAGTGCTTAAGTAGTTAGAACTTTGCAAGGTCTTTTCAAAATTCTCTCCAGTCTCTCCCTTCTCTGCCTCACCTACTTCTTGAGATTGCAAGGTTTTGTTTCCAGCTTTCTGCATTTTTGAAAGAAAGCAGTAAGTAAGCCCAGTGTTACAGGAAATCTATGACATTGAAATCTCTGTCTCTGCATGTGGTTTTGATGTTTCCTTTTTGAACTTCAACTTGACATTGCTTCATAAGTTACATTTGCCCTTCCATTTTTTTCCTCACTCTCTTTCAAAAGTTTGGCTTCGTTGTTAATATTCCTCACAGATTTCTATGGCTTTTCTTGTTTGCTTTGTTTTCATGGACTCTGTAGGGGGTAAATATTCAGCAGGTTGAATGTGAAATCAGGCATACAACTGCATTAGCCCTATCAGGGTTACACATCAAATTCTCCAAGCAGAGAACCTTTTTAGCTTCCTTTGCATTAGCAGCAGGAAGATAAAGAACAGCGAAGACTTGCGGCTCTTTTAAGGGTGTAGGTTATAACCCTTCATTCAAGTTAATGCTTGTTGATGTTCTAAAATTTTTTGAAGTTGACCCTTTTGGCCTCCCCTCATATGCAGCAGTGCATCATCCCATCAGTAGAGGATGTGTAAAACTGTGTTTTGCTCATTGAAAAACATAAAATTGCTTATAGGTGAGAAAAGAAAAAAGCAGCATTTATTCAAGGGCCTAGAGACCTCTGCTGGTTAAGTGACTTGTTGAGTGTTTTTCTAGTTTTGTTTATTATTGAAAAGGTAAAATATACAGCTTGGCCTCAACAGTAGCAGTTTCCTTTTGAAATAAATTATGTATGATTTGAAACATTGAATGAAGATACTGAGGTCAAGTCAGCTGGAAGTGATGTTAAGAATAATGAGTAGCATCTCCTAATTAAATACTGATATCAACTTTGATTATTAGGTTTACTTTGGTAGGCATTACCCTGTAGAAATGCCCTGTGAACACATAAAATTCCAGAATGACAGCTATGGTTATCTTCTGCATGACTTTGGGCTGAAGGTCTTCTACCTGAATATGTTTATCATTATTCTTAATGGCATGAATTATGCTTGAGGCAAGATTTGATATTTATGAAGACTTTTTATGGAACATGGAGTTAACATTGTCTTTATATCTATTGAAAATAAGGAAAGAAAATGTGACTTCAATGAAGTACAGAAAATATGGTATCATTTGGGTGGGGAGGGGTAATGGATTGCATTGGGCAATGTGGGAAGTAAGTGATGCTTTGAATTCCTGTGTTAGACTGTGGGCAGGACTTGATTTCCTGAGGAGATTTAATAAAAATCAGGATTCATTTAAAGATTTCGGGTTCTAGAGTCATATTCCTGTAGATAACATTCTATCAATATGAAATCAATAATAAACAATGATGATAGTCTTAAAGGAGAAAGGAATCAAAATGTATCTATACAACATGTGGGAGTGAAGTACATTAGTGAGGGACAAGCTAAGCTATTCTCACAAAGGAGACCCCAAAATAAAGTAGCTTAGATAAGAAGTTTATTTCTCTCTCACATTATTTTCCTCAAAAATGGCAGGTGAGTGTGGAGCTGCTTTGCTCCACAGGGTCATTCATGGTCCAAGGCTGACAGATCAGCATTTTCATCCTATGTAGCTTCCATGTCTGCACCCAAGGCTATTTCAATTGTCAGTCTTTTCCAATCAGTGTGAAGGGGCAAAAAGAGGTTAGGGAAAGTATCTTTAAGTGAGTAACCCAGAAGTTGCTCTCACCACTTTCACACACATACAGTTGGCATGAACTTGGTTACATGGTTACCTCTAGCTGCAAAGCCATCTGCAAATGTAGTGCATGCCTGGGAATACACCAGCCCGGTTAAAAGTGGGAACGGGTAATGGGAAGATAATCTCTACTGACAGGAAAAAAGGAATAATAGATCCTTATAGGAGAGGGACAGTTAATTTTACCATATGCTATTGGTAGTTTTATCCATTTTGCATTTAGGGATTAAAAGACTACAATATGAACCACAAAAACGGTATTCAGAGTAGGGTATAGGCATCTCCCTGAATGTCTACCCAGTCTTGTTATTTGCATAACATCTGGAAAAGGAATTTTATTATAAGTGTAGTTTGCCCTTTGATTGCATATGATAAAAATAGATTGAGTATACACTGAATATACACCTTCTCTTTGCTTTTTGAACGGCTATAGCTCAACCTAATTGGATTCAAAAAATAAATGATATTCACGTGGCCATGGAAGAAAATGTCTTTTGGGAATGTAAAGCAAATGGAAGGCCTAAGCCTACATACAGGTGGCTAAAAAATGGTGAACCTCTGCTAACTCGGGTAAGCAAATTAATGGTAATTGTGTCTTAGTCTTGGTTTAATATAGCCTCATTGTCGTGGAAATGTGAGAACGGTGAATCGTTTCTAAAATAATAAACAATGAAACACCATTATAGTGGAAAAAGTGAGAGTGAATGCAATTGATAAATAGAAAGTGCACTTAAATCCAATTCTCCAGCTTTCAATTAAGCTCTTGTACTTGATCTTTGGTCTTCAAAGATTAGCATCTGTGAGATTATAATGGGAAAGTTATGCAAAAGGTCTGGAACATGCAATTGTGCTAAGATACAAAGGAAGATACATTCCAGGATCCACTACAAGAGAAGGGGCGTTGTCACAATGCAGGATGTCCATCTAAATAGAGAAACACTCTGACAAAGAAATCTGAATGAAGCAGGGGCAGAGTGGGGGACCCTGAGAATGAGGAATAATTGTGTCTGATTAATTTGCCTTATGTATTTTCCTACTGAACCTCAAATGTTAATTGAAATTTGACATTTTCCTCAGGTTCCAAATTGAGAGGCAGTCTTCTAGTAGGCCACCCAGGAAAGAGTGCCTGCTCAGAGCAATGGCCCCCACGTGAATTTACATGACAGGAAGAGAAAGGGGGCTGTTTTGTCTAACCCACCCCCTGCCTCATGCATCTTCTCCATTTGCTGGAAGGGCTCCAGCTTGTCCAAGATTCTGTCTATTATAAAAGCCAGACTCAAACAAATTGCAAGAGTATATGTACCTAGGTACTGGTATTTTCCTCCCTTTGTGTAATTGTTACCCAAATGCCAGGGGGTTAGTCTAGGTCCTGTTGCTTGCTGTGCAGAGAGCCAATCACTGAGACAGTGAGTATTGCCAGGAAATAAGGCTTTGTCAGGTGCTTTAGTCAAAGAGAATGGGAGAGCAGTCTCAAATCCATCTCTCCAACCAACTAAAATTGGGAGTTTATGTAGCTGGGGAAGGGATGCAGCTGTGTACAGGAAGGAATTAGGTGGGGGTACAGAGGCAATCACGACAGATGAAGGGTCTTGTGTCTCACTCTCTGGTTGCCATGATCTAGTGAGTTTGAGTCCCTTGCTTGAGGATCAACCTCCTGAGGAGTTAACTCAGATGAGACCAATGTAAGTTTCAAGTTTTAAAACTAGGCAGGTCAATTTCTGTATTTATTCAAAAATGGGTAATTATCATTTCTGTGAGACAATTGGGCTGGTTTCTTAATGTGAGGGAATATGGATGTCTAGATTTAATCACAGTTTAATAAAGTGTCCAGTCAGCTAACTCACAGCCCTGCAGCAAACAGAAAACTAGTACCTCTTTATGTGTGTGTGTGTGTGTGTGTGTGTGTGTGTGTGTGTGTATAGAGAGAGAGAGAATGGCATAGCTCCTGGAGAGGAAGAGATCCTTTTTGATACTTATGAAAATTGATACATAAGTTGTATATCCTCAGAGTGACAAACGGGGAAGATCTCCTGTGCCACGTACTAACTTTGCCTTCTTGAGATTGGCCACCAGATGGACTTCAGCTTAAATCACACCACTGACAACCATAAACTAAGGGAATATTAAACTATTAATACCTGCATTTTTCAGTAAACCTCAACCTATATTAAATAGTTGCCTCTGTTTCATCCAAAATTGTAATCCTATTAACCCTCAAAGTATCACCTGCTCAAAATGTGAGTGTTTTAAACCCTCTAAACAGTAAATTTGGTTGTATTTCCAAAACCCCCTAACTCTGGTTAGCACAAATCCTTAAAGTTAAAAAGCATTTTAAATTTCAAGTTCTGTTTAGAGAGGATATTAATCTGAATGGCTCCACTATTAAATCATTGAGAACTCAAGAGAATCTACAATTTAAATTCCATTTACCAACTGATGTACTGGTTGTTCCACTTAGCATCTGACCTGCCAGAAAATTTAGTTGACAGATAAATAGATCATGTTATGTAAATTGCTTATATGATGGCTATTTTCTTCCCATTAAGCTTCCTTGATATTACACATGGTAAAATTGCCTTAAAGTCTCAGTTGTAGAAGGTCATTGTTTTTATGTTCCTCTTTTCTTTCACAGGATAGAATTCAAATTGAGCAAGGAACACTCAACATAACAATAGTGAACCTCTCAGATGCTGGCATGTATCAGTGTTTGGCAGAGAATAAACATGGAGTTATCTTTTCCAACGCAGAGCTTAGTGTTATAGGTGAGTCTTTATACTGGCAAGAAAAAATAAAGTAAAAACTCTTTAAATCACTAAACTAACTTGTTCTTTGCCAAGCATGAATGTTCAATCCAAGAAAAGGAGTAAAGAAATCTTTAGGCCAAAGATACTACTGGAGAAACAAGTAATATGTAAGTCTATAAGCAATAACAAGAGGACGCTTTCTAAATCAGCCTCCTCTGATGCTTACAGAGGGACCATGCTTCCCTTGGCACTCATTTTTATTTCTTTTTCTTTTTTCTTTTTCTTTTTATTATTATACTTTAAGTTCTAGGGTACATGTGCACAACGTGCAGGTTTGTTACATATGTATACATGTGCCATGTTGGTGTGCTGCACCCATTA